AATCACAGGCCAAGATGGCAAAGCGACTGTTATGACACTTACTCAAACATGACATTTTGTACAAGGATAAGAACAAAATGTCATGTTTTCCTTTTCGAAAAGTACTCTGTATGGACATCGGTCTCCATCACACTTAGAACCATAGCAAAATGGCCGAGATATGGTATTGTTGAGAAGAATATGATCCTCATCATCCCGATACAACTTTATGGTTTGACCAGGTTTCATATACGGGTCTCTCCCAAACAAACAATCAACATGCAGAATGGTGCAGCAGTAGTCATCGTACGCATATAACCCTCTTGTTCTTGAATATACTCTTTTCCTTCCGCATGCTTATTTCATCACTTCCCTCTTTCCTTTCTCGAAATGTGAGGAGATGTTTGTCATGTTTATACCTTGCCTTGTATGGTAAAGTAGCACACTCCAAACATAAAATATAATCACATTCGATGCAATTTAGCTTTCTAGACCAAATACCACCAATATCTTTACAGATCGAACATGTTGCGAATTCTTCTTCTTTTGGTGTTAAAGCTAGCTAGGACTAAAAGATGTTCATGGCCTTCATATTTAAACGGTTCAGAAACCGAGGCACACAGTAAATCTAATCTGAAACAGTGATCTCCCTCATAGACGAACCCACAACACTCACGATCACAAGCATCACAAGTAAAGTGACCATTGTTAGTATCATATTCATTAGTCACAGCTTTTAGCGTGAGCGGATGAGCATGCAACGGATGATGTTTCCTACAAGGAGCGTTTGCACAGGCTTCGTGGATGATGAAGTCACACTGGTCCACACAAGAATAATAACTACCCTCGTAGATGGGAAGGACGCACGCTTGACAAAACTTGTCTTCGTCATAAACCCTACTAATCTCGAGTTTCATATGATGGCCATGAGAAAAATGGAGTATGATTCCATCAGATATCCTCTCAAATGGCTCAACAACTATCTCAGGTTCTTCGGGTACTCCCTCGAGTTCTTCCCCATCCCACAAGTCTTTCCGCAACGCGCATCTTGAATGAACAAAATAATCATCACACTTGTTGCCAAGCTTTCGACGACAAACCCCGCAAAAAGAAATTCCGGATGGAAGAGATGAGGTAAAAGAGATACGGTGGCGGTGACGAGATATCCGTATGACATATGGGAAATATATACAATCTTGATGGACTAAGTAGACACATCGAGCACAAGCATATGTGGGAATAAATGCATGAATCACACCACAAACATTGCAAGCTAAGGAATTTTGTTTTGGGAAAAAGGTGAGAGGATGGGGATGCCTTTTCGGGTGGTCTATGAAAATAGGTATTGGCTTCATGGCACAAACCGAATGCATAAATAAATTATAGGTAGGACAGTGATAAATATAATGTTATATGATCAATACATATGAGATCTAGAGGGAGCTTACAAATACTAGAGTGGCTGTCGGGATCAAACAATTGATCAACGCTTCTTATGTTGGGGAAGTGAGCGGACGTAGTGAACGGGAGAAGGACGTATATAGAATAACCATTCTCCTTTCGTTTTAACTTTTCAGCTTTGCGACGTAATTTAGGACAAAGGAAAAGAGGTTGAGGTGGAGAGAGGTCGTCGTCGCAGCCACTGGAGGAAGAAGAAGGGTTGTCTGTTTGGAATAATAAAGTGAATATGTGAAATGGTTCTCCATCGATTTCTCCCTCACGAAATACACCGATGGAACTAGTCATTGTTGCTCCTAAGGCGATTTGGGATGTTTGTATGATGAGAGATAAGAAAGTGTATTGCTCTTCTCCTTCCATAGATAGAGCTTCCAAAATACAGATCCAACTTGTAAACGAAAATATAAAGAACTCCCCACTTTGGACAATCTTAGTATTGAAATGGTTAATGGGTGACTGGTGAGTTTAATGGAGATCTCTGCGCATAAGTCAATAATGCACATGGGGATTTAACATTGGATTCGACCATAGAGAAATATAAGAAACAAAAAGTAGTACAATGCGTTTAA